TTCTTTCTTTCTTTCTTTCTTTCTTTCTTTCTTTCTTTCTTTCTTTCTTTCTTTCTTTCTTTCTTTCTTTCTTTCTTTCTTTCTTTCTTTTTTGCCAGTCCTGGTGCTCAAACTCAGGGCCTAGGTACTGTCCCCGAGCTTCTTTTGCTCAAGGCTAGCACTCTACCACTTTTAGCCACAGTGCCACTTTTTTTTTTTTTGTTTTGTTTATATGTACCAAGGAATCAAACCCAGGGCTTCATGCATGTGAAGCAAGCACTCTACCACTAAGCCACTCCCAGCCCAATTCCAAAGATTCTTAAGAAAGTGTTTATCATTATGTATGTAACAATGTCTATTTTTCACTGGCTATTTACTACATGCTGAATCTCTGCTAATTTAATTGCATGTCCTATTCAATACTGATAGAAGACCTGTAGGTATATGTCTTAATCTTCAATTCTTGTAGATAAAGAAACTAAGGATTAGAGAAGGAACTATGTAAGTTGCCCAGAATTGGATAAAGAGCAAGTAACTAGGACTCATATAAATGTCTGCTTTTATCCTCTATGTTTCTCAAGGGGAAAAAGCACATAGAGGAAACTAACTTATCCTGTTACACATTTGATATGCTTCTCCACCTGCCGTTTTTCTCTGCTCACATTTGTGATGATTAATTGTGACCTAATAGGGTATGTAAAATAACATTCATTTAGAAATAATTCCTTTTCCTAATTAAGATGTATTCATTACAAAAATTGTGTTTATAGACGTCCAATTTTGTTTATTTTCTAAATGCTGAGCCAAAATTTCAATTAACATTTACTAAATTATCTTCACTAGAGACTTGAGATGCCAACTTTTTCTTACTATGAGTGTGTATGTATGTAAACTTCTCAACTTATCTGTTGATCTTTCTTTATACTACTGCATTCATTATAATAATTATGAAATCCTTATAATGCATTTTAAATATAGTAATGCAAAAATCTCCTGCAAAGCATTTTATTTTCATCTATTTCTGATTACTAGTCTATTTGTTCCACAAAATGAGTGCTTACTATGTGCCAGGACCTGAACTAAGTGTGGAGATGCTTGTAGAATTTTTTCAAACTCTTCAACAAATCCAAATGGGAGGATTGTGTTAATATTATATAGTAATTTTATAATATACCATTTATATAATGTGAGAGGACTCTTATTTTTACTGTTAAGTCTACTAGTGCAGACACATGAACTGTTTATTTTTTATCCTGATTTTTGACTTTTTTTATAACCTGCTGTAATTTCCTATATTATTTGTAGTTTTCTATATTAATAAGTTTGCTTCTAGATATTTTACCTTTTTGTAATTCTTGAATGGAATGCTTTTTCTATAGTATTTTTAACTAGTTAGTACAAGTAGATAGAAGGCTGTTTGATTCTTACATATTGATTTGTAACTAAGTAACTTATTAGCTTTCTATTAACTTCCTTATTCATTTTCTAGTTCTGAAAGATTTTATTACTTAATTCTCTTGGGTTTTCCAGGTAGCCAGTCATATCTTTTGAAAAGAAGTAAAGTTTTAAGCATATTTTTAAAATATTTTGTTTCCTTTTTTGTTTCTTTTGTTGTTGTTGTTGATTTCCTTTTTGAATAACTATTCAGACCAGGAGTTCTAGAATAGCGTTCAATAGTGACAGTGATAGTTTCTTGCTAGTGTTTCTTCATAAGATTAAGTGTTTTAATCTGGAATGGATATTGAAAACTACCTGTATGACATCTATCAAGATAATCATAAAATTTTTGGCTCTTTGACCTATCAACTTGAGCAATCATTTTCCAACATTAAACTATTTTTAAATTTCTAAATAAATTTTATTTGGTCATGATAGATTATTCTTATAATTTACCAATATGCATAATTTATTATAATTAATAATTTAATTAATATTAACACTTATAAATTATTAATTTTGTGTTGTATGTTTTAATTATATTAATCTATTAATGTATTAATGTTTAAATGTATATAACACTATTGTTCTTGTAACATTTGTTAGAATTTTTCTCTGATTCATAACTGTAATTGGTTTATTCTAATCTTTTTGTGCTCAATCAGAATTTGCAATCATTTTTTTCTCACTCTCTCTCTTGCTTTTTACATGAATTGTGGAGCTTCTTAAGATTTTCTGTGCTCAAAACTATCTAAGTAGCAAAAAAAAAAGACTGCTTTCTACATGGCAATGTTGATTTTTGCCAGACCAGAACACATTATTTGCCTAATCATTCTGTCCTTGAAGACTAGTCTATGAGCAGGTAAAAGAATCCAACATGGTTCCCAAGAGATTACAAAAAACCAACAAGAGCAGCACTCAGCCTGCATGCCACTCAAAGATCATGCAGATGAGGTAGAATGAAATTTGTGTCAATATTTTATCTTCAAAATGAAAGCTAAAATTTAAAAATTAGTCATAGATAACTTACAAATTGAAGGTGGGGACTTACTGACATGACAAATACTGAGAAATACAGACTACTAAAATGCCTTGTTATTCAAATTATTTTAAGACTGGAAAAAATGAATTAATAAATTAATTCAACAAACCCTTGAGTACAGTAAGCCCACCTTATTTACAAATTTATTATATGTATTTTTTGACTAAGTGTGGTAAAAAAATGCCATTTTTAAAGCAGCAAAATTAGATTTCAAAAACAAAAAAGTTAAATGCTCACACATATATTACACAGCTCAGTAGATGCAGCAAAGCTCTCAGTCTGTTTCACCTTATTGTTCACTCTGTTTAAATCATTGAGAGATTGATTGTTTCCACGGCTTTAATTTTGGGGAAAAAATTATACCTTTCAAACAGTAAATGGTGCCACCAAAATGCAAGTTAAAGCAAGAGCATTTAAGCGATAAAGTGAAAATTTTTGTTTTTAACAAGTTGGACGATGTTTATAGGGAAAAACATAGATCAAACATCTGCAGTTCCACAGTGAACTAAGCAGGCATGGTCTTTTCCCAGTGGCAGTCTCCTTGGAGCCACTTTCCCATGGATATCAAGCGTCTTTTACAGTAGCTCTGTTAGACATGAATCTAGGCATTGTGGGTACAGAGATAAACAAGACACATGATGCTCCTGTCCTTGTGGTGCTAACATTTTAGTAAAAAAAAAAAAAAAGTATACGAGTAAAAACCTGAAGCCAAATATCTATCTATCTATCTATGAAACGGAGCAGACAGTAATAGGAGCAGAAATGCTGAAGTGTCTGGATACTAAGTGGAAGCTAGCCAGGCTCTTAAGAGGAAGAGCCACGATCTTCAATGCATTTACAATCTGCAGTAATTCCTTTCACATCAAATTATGGCACAAAAATCTTAGACTTTGAAGCTTTTCACAAATTGCTTTTTCTTACTGAAATATAGGAATAGATATCATCATGCTGCAAACTGAAAAGCTTCCTTCTGTTCTTTTTTAAGATGAGTGTTGTTTTTTTCAATCTGACAATATAGTTAATCCTTCTTAAAATTTAAAACACGGTCGTTGTTTTCATGTGTGCCAATACTAGGGCTTGAACTCCAGGTCTTGTACTCTTGCTTGGCTTCTTTTCTCAATGCTGATGCTCTACCACTTGAGGCACACCTCTACTTTTTGCTGGTTAATTGAAAGTACGAGTATCTCTGATTTATATACCTGAGCTGGCTTCTCACTGTGATTCTCAGATCTCAGCCTGCTGAGTAACTAGGATTACAGATGTAAGCCACTGGTTCCTGGCTAAATATGGAATATGTTTAAGGTTGAATTTTACTCCAATATATTTTAAAATATAATTTGCCGATGTAGAATACTGCAAGGGTTTTAACATAAAAAACACATAATAAAACAGAGAATACCAGCTAATGTGGAGCTGGTTTTCTGTGCGACAACCATTTAAGTCTCACAACAATGCTTTAAATTTAACGATCCTCCTTTACCTATTAGAAACTGAGACAGAAAGATCAAGCCCACTGTCCTAAGTGACATTCTAAACTCAGTCCCAGGTCTTCTGACTTTAAAACAGAGCCTTCCAATTACTTCACTTGCCTGCTGGGCCCCAAGCAATTTTTTCCTACACAGCCAATTATTTTCTTCTAGTTGGTACACCAGTAAAAGTAGCTGAGAAAAAGGAGACGGAAGAATTTCAAGAGGCAGTAGATGCAAACAAAGAAGAATTACAGTCTTTGCCTTATGAAGAAGGTACAGAGAGAAATGCCCTGCTGATGCTATTGGCCAGCCCTTTCTTAATGGAATTATATTCTCTGATAAAGTTTATTCTTTTGCTACAGCACCTTCTCAGGAATTTCCTAGAGACGTGTCGGCAGAAGTCTCTGAAGAAATCAAAATAAATACCCTGGACAGTCAAGAAACTAAAGATGGTAACAGCATGAACTGCCAATAGAATGTATATGCATCTTACTTCGATTTACTTACTTCTGACCCTGTTATTGAAGCTTAAAATTACTATTAAACTTGAAAACTTCCGAAGAAAAAACTTATTTTGTAAAAGCAGAGCCTGAGCTATGTGCTTAACCTATTTTGCTCAAGGCTAGTGCTATACCACTAAGCCACAGCTCCACTTCCAGCTTTTTGGAGCTTAACATCCTTCCTTCCTTCCTTCTTTTTTGCTTTCTTTTTTTCCATCTGGCCTTACCTGGGCCTGAGCTTTATTCAGTCTCAGGCTTCTACATAGCTAGGATGACATGCATGAGCCATTATGCTTAGCTATCCATTGGGAAGGGTCTTGCAAACTTTCTGCCAAGGCTGGCAACTGAAGTATTATTTCCTTGAGGTTCATCTCTTGAGTAGCTAAGATTATTGATGTGAGCCACTGACACTCAACTTCTTGTCAACAGTGTGTTGACATAAGTACCATCATCAATTGAATGAATATAAAGTAACAATGAGATTGTTTTGCCTAAAAACTCATCTCAAATTATAGTCTTATGCAAAAATATAAATAGATATAGACATAAGACATAACTTTTTCTAAATTGATGATTTCCTAAATCACACCAAGATTATTTACAAGTATCTTTCATAGTTTTTAATAATTATTTAGTGTCATGTATTGATTTGTTTTCTTTAGTTTTATTTTAGATTTAAAGTTCTCATACATTTTTCTTTTTCTTTCTTTGCCATACTGAAGTTTGAACTCAGTCTCTACCTCTTGAGCCAGACTGCCCACCTTGTACACAGTTTTAAAGTGCATCTATATTTTGTCTGGATACAAAATGTGGAGTTGATTTTTTGAAGGAGACAACACTTGGCTCGCCCTATTGATTCACTGGCTTATACCTATGTGTTTTTCCTGCAGCTTGTTTCGAGCCTAGTAGTAATTAAACTGGGCCCTGTCACAAACTCATGTGTAATACACCACACAAGTACACTCTCCCTCCCTTCCTTCCTCCCTCCCCCTCCCCACACAGACTCATCACAGAAGGCAGCCCTATAGATTGAAATGTTGACAATCAAGTGGAGCCAGGATCCCCAGCTCTGTTGTTGATTCAGTTCCCAGCACTGGTCTACAAAATGCACCTTCCCCTGCAGTTCCTTCTGTGAGGAAGTGGTCCACGTGAAACTGGGAGAGTCAGCAGTATCTCCAGTTACAATGACATCCCTCCCTGTCCATGGCTCTGAGAGAGTCCTTGCTCTGAGAGTTCAGATTGTTGTCAACCTCAGAAAGAGTTGTCTTGATTATTTTTTTTATTTTATTTTGTTCTTCAACTTAGATACACTGAAAGCACTCACACTTTTGTTACAAGTTATTTTTCCCAGGTAGTATCACATATTTGACTATTTGTCATAATTCTTATTTTCGCTAAAAATTGGGACTGAGTCCTGAGTGTTCTGGACCCTTACTACAATCTTCCATGGGAATTTAACTACCTGTTTCTTTAGTACTGTTATTTAGTTGTTAATAGATGTTTGATTCACAGATGAAAAAGGAACCAGTGAAATGAGTTCTGAAGACTTTAATCAAGAGCTAAAGACAGAATCAGAAGGTAAACTAATGTTTGGGTAAAGGTTGGCTCTCTTAGACTGTACATAACACATAAGAATTTAGAAGAAGCGAATGATTTTCTTAAAAAATACTATTAGAATACAATTTACTCTATCTTCAAAGTATCCTACTGTATTATAAACAGCTAGACATAGGAAATAGGAACAAAGGAAATCAGACTACAAGTCCAATGCTTTGGTGAAAAGTATTGGAAATATAGGCAGGCTTTCTTTCTGTTCTGCCTTTTGCTGGTATGTGGCTATTGACCATAACTGATTCATAAAATGGCTGCTGGAACTCTAGTTATCATGTCAGGGAACTTAGCAGGAAGAGTATAAAATGTAGAGGACAATGTGTGACAATATCCAGCTAAGTTAACTTTCTTACATAGTTGAGAGAAAATTGCACCCCCAAAAAAATCCCTCCTCCCTGAATTCTGCTCATGTAAGGAAATTTGAGTTTTTAAGCTCAGTACATTGCTGGCCTTGACAAAAATCAGATGTCTGCTACTAAAGAAAAAGAAAACAGGTATGGAGTGAACAGCTAGCAACGTGTATATTTAGCATCCTTTTGGGTGATTATTTTCTCTTCAATTCTTTTTTAAAATAATTTTTATTAAGTGATTACATAAATTTCATAAATTTCACAGTATTGTGAGATAGTGACAATTAAAGTCACAAACACATTTTAACTTTCACAAGGCAAATTGTCATTATCATGGTCTATAATGTTTGTGAATTCTATGAATTTTGATAATACAACTATTTCTTCTCATCAGGTGATATGTACATTTCTTTGCTTTTGCTTAGTGTCAGCTGTTCCTTCTTTCCCTCTCATTCCCTCCTCCCCATTGCTGCTCTTGAATTGCTTAGTTCATTTTCATCTATGTCCAGTGCAGCTGATGGGCCCCTCTGTTGTATATTTTCCCCTGTTTCCCTCTGATTCTGTGCACTCCTCCTAGCTTCCCTTAGATGTGCACCTATATATACCATATAAGTGGTCAAGAAAGTCATCTAGAAATGATACGACAAATTGAGTGGAGGTCCTTTGTTTCTTGAGTCCTGTTTACTTTGTCATATCTCTTTGCATTTTTTACTTAAAATCCAAAATTATGGAGACAATATGCCATTTGTCTCTCTGTTCTTGGCTCACCTTCCTTAAAATGATTTGTTCTAGTTCCATCCATTTTCCTGAGAATGCCATTATTTTGTCCTTCTAACGGCTGCATAATATTCTGTTGTATATAGGTACCACAATTTTTGGATCCATTCATCTGTAGTGAGGCATCGGGGTTGTTTCCATAGGTTGGCTATTTTGAACAGTGCTGCAGTGAACATGGAGTTGCATGTGTCCTTGTATCCTGGGTCCTGTTGCTCAGGGTAAATGCCTGTATATAGATGCAATATGGCTGGGTCATAGGGGAACTTTAAATCTAGCTTTCTAAGGTGCCTCCAGACTGCTTTCCAAAGTGGTTGTATTAGTATACATTCCCACCAGCAATGCAGTAGGGGTCCTCTTTCTCCACATCCCCTCCAACATTTATCATTGGCTGAATTTAGGATGTGGGCCATTCTGACTGGGGTAAGGTGGTATCTCAGAGTTGTTTTTCTTTGGATTTCCTTTATAGCCAGGGATGATGAACATTTCCTCTTGTGCTTTTTTGACATTTTTATCTCTTCTTCTGAGAAGTCTCTCTTTAGCTTCCTTGCCCATTTAAGGAATGGTTTACTAAATTTGGGTGGATTAGTCCGTTGAGTTCCCTGTCTGATATATTGTTGGTAAATATTTTTCCCAATTAGTTGGCTGTCTTTCTAGTTTGGTAGCTATGTCATTATCTGTGCAGAAACTTTTTACTTTAAGGTAGTCCCATTTGTCAAGTCTCTCTCCAACTTGTTGTGACCCTGGGACTCTGTTCAGGAAGTTCCTACCTGTGCCTATAAGTTCAAGTGTCTCTTCTACTCTGTCCTGCAGTAGTTTCAGAGTTTCAGGTTTGATGTTAAGGTATTTAATCCATTTTGAGTTGATGTTAGTGTATGGTGACAGGCTGGGGTCCACTTTTAGTTTTCTGCATGTGGCTACCCAGTTTTCCCAGCACCAGTGGTTGAAAAGGCTATGCTTCTTCCACTGTATGTCTTTGGCTCCTTTGTCAAACATCAGCTGACTACAGGTATGTGATTTTATTTCTGGATCTTGTAATCTGTTCCTTTGGTCTTCAGGTCTGTTTTTGTGCCAATAACAAGCTGTCTTTATTATTATGGCTCTATAGTAGAGCTTGAACTCTGGTATCAAGATCCCTCTGGTATTGTTTCTTTTGCCTAAATTTGCTTTGGCTATTCTAGGCCTTTTGTTGTTCCATATGAAGTTTTGGATTGTTTTCTCTATTTCAGTAAAGTATGTCATTGGAATTTTGATGGGAATTGCATTGAATTTGTATATCATTTTTGGCAGTATAGCCATTCTCCCTATATTAATTCTGCCTATCCAAGAACATGGAAGATCTTTCCATTTCCTAGTGTCCTCTATGATTTCTTTCTTTAGGCTTTTATAGTTTTCATTAAATAGTTCCTTTACATCTTTGGTTAGTTAATTCCTAAGGTTTTTTTTTAGATTATTCTGAATGGGATGTTTCCTTGATTTCCCTTTCTGCTTGTACATTGTTGGTGTACAGAAAGGCAATTGATTTTCATGGGTTAATTTCATATAGTTCTACTTTGCCAAAGTGGTTTATAAGCTCTAGGAGTTGAGCTCTAGGGATCGTTAAGGTATAATATCTGCTCAACCTCTGTAGCCCTATATTAAGTGAAATAAGCCAGGCCCAAAGAAACATAGGTTCCATGGTTTCCCTTATTTGCAATAACTAGTATATGTCTGAGACAAGCAGAAAAGGTTAGATAAGATGATGTTAAGCAAAATGAACCCCAACATAAGGACACAAGTGTTTTTTATCTTTCTTTATATTGTTTCTTATGTATTTATAAGGTACCACGTGATTTTTTGTTGTTTTGTATGTCCCTCTCCCACGGTATAACCCCTGTTTTCACTATATTTGATGTTGGTATAATTTGGAGAAGGGAAGGGAAAAAACAAATTGTTTAAATAGGGACACAAGTTGATCCATTGCAACAATGAGATGTATAAGACGCTATATCAAAAAACGAACTTTACAATTTAAGCAGTGGGTAGGGGGAGTAGTTGTGGAGATGGGAGGAAGGGATGGTAGGAGAAAAACAAAGGAGGAGGCAACAATGCTTGATAAGAAATGCACTCATTACCTTGCTCATGTAACTATAACCCCTCTGTACAGTATTTTCACAATAAAAAACTTATTTTTTAAAAAGGTATGTCATCTGCAAATAGGGATAGTTTAATTTCTTCCTTCCCTATGAGGATCCCTTTAGTGCCCTTTTTTCTTGCCTTATTGCTCTGGCTAAGGATTCCAGAACTATGTTGAAGGGTAGTGGAGAGAGTGGGCATCCTTGCTTTGTTCATGATATTAGGAGAATTGGTTGTACTTTTTCCCAGTTTAGCATAATATTGGCTATTGGTCTGTCGTATATGGCTTTTATTGTTTTAAGGAATGTTCTTTCTATTCCTATCTTCTCCAGAGCTTTTTCTTTTTTTTTTGGTCAGTCGTGGGACCTGAACTCTGGGCATGAACACTGTCCTTCAGCTCTTCAGCTCAAGGCTAGTGCTCTACCACTGAGCCACAGCACCATTTCCACTTTTTCTGCTTATGTGGTGCTGAGGAATCAAACACAGTGCATGCAGGGCAAGCACTCTACAACTGAGCCACCTTCCCAGCCCTCTCTAGAGCTTTTAACATAAATGGATGTCATATTTTATCAAATAGAAGCCTATTCTGTATCAATGGAGATAATCATGTGATTCTTGATCTTGGGTCTGTTGATGTGATGGATTACATTTATTGATGTTAAACCACCCTTGCATCTCTAGGATGAAGCCTACTTTATCATAATATATGATTTTTTGATATGTTAAAAATTTTTGAGGAGGTTTTCACCTGTGTTCATGAAAAAGATTAGACTGTAGTTCTTTTTTTAGTTGAATCTTTGAATCTTTTTGGTTTGGGGATGAGTGTGGTATTGACTTTGGGATTGCTCCCTTTGTTTCTATTTCTCAGAAGAGCTTGAGGAGTATGGGTATTAGTTCCTCTTTAAAGGTCTTACAGAATTCTGTACTGAATCCATCTGGTCCTGGGCTTTTCCTTGTTGGAAGACTTCCTCTATCTCATCATATGTTATTGGATTATTTAATTAATTTATTTCTTCTTGGTTCAGTTTGGGCAATTTGTATTTCTCTAAAAATTCATCCATTTCTGCTAGGTTTTCCTTCCTCAATGAGTATAGATTCTAGAAATAGTTCTTTGTTTGGATGTATTGGATGTTTGTTGTAATTTTTCCTGTGGCATCCCTGATCTTATTGACCTGGGTCTTCTCTCTTTTTTTAGTTAATCTTCCCAGAGGTCCATCAATTTTATTGATTTTTTTTGAAAATCCAGCTTTTTGTTTTATTAATTTTATTTAGAGTTTTCTTAGTCTCTATCTCTTTAATTTCAGCTTATTTTGGTTATCTCTCTCCATCTAGTAATTTTGGGTTCATTTTTTTCTTGCTTTTCTAGCAGTTTTAGTTCATCATGAGATTATTTACTTGATCTGTCTCTATTTTCTTTTTTCTCCCCCAACCTGTCTCTATTTTCTTGATGTGTGCACTGAGAGCAATAAATTTGCCCCTCAGGACTGCTTTTGCCATGTCTCACAGGTTTATTTGTGGTGTATATTCATTTTAATAAAATTGTAGGAACTTTTTGATTTCTTTAATTTCTTCTGTGACCCAGGTGTTGCGCAGAAGTGTGCTGTTTAATTTCCATATATTTGAGTAATTTCTAGGTATGGTTTGTTATTGAGAACTACCTTGATTCCACTAGGGTTCTATAGAATACAAGGAATTATGTCACTCTCTTGTATTTGCTTAAATTCTTTGTATGAACTATGATATGATCTGTTTTGGAGAAAGTTCCATGGGCTGCTGAGAAGAATGTTTACTGTGTTGTTTGTTGGGTAGATAACTCTAGATGTCAATTAAGTCCACTTAAGATACAGCATCATTTAATTCAGAGGCTTCTTTGTAGACCTGTCCTTTGGTAAGAGTGGAGTATTAAAGTCTCCTAGTATTACTGTATTTGGATCTATTTTTTCCTGGAAGTCTGAGAGTATTTGCTTAATGTATTTGGGCACACCAATGTTGGAGAGTAGAAATTGATAATGGTGGTATCCTCTTCTTGGATTGTTCCTTGTATTGATATGTAGTGTTCTTCTCTATCTTTTTGTATTGATTTTAATGAAAAGTTTATTTTGTCAGATATCAGGATGGCAACTCCTGCCTTTTTGCTGGGAACATTTGCATGGTAGATTTTCCTCCATCCCTTCATTCGGAGTCTGTTTTTATCTTTGGCTGTGAGATGGGTCTCTTGAAGACAACAAATGGGTGGATCTTGTTTTCTGATCCAATCTGCAGTTCATTTTCTTTTGATTGGTGAATTGAGTCCATTAATATTTATGGTTAATATAGGGAGGTGCATTGTGTTTCCTGTCATTTTCCTGCTTTCCTACGTTTTTCTTCTTTCTTTTCCTCCTGTGTTTACTAAGTGGTCTTCTAGTGATATCTGTCTGATATAGATCCCTGATCTTGATTGTTTTGTTCATATTGTAATCCCCCTCTTTATATATTCTTTGTAGTGCTGGCTTATTGTTTATGAATTCAGTTAGTTATTCTTTACTATTAAAAATTTAGTTTCTCCATTGAATGTGAATGCTAGCTTCACTGGATATACCAGTCTGGGTTGGCAGTTATTGGTTCTTAGGGCTTCAATGTACTTTCCCAGGCTATCCTTGCATTCAGTGTTTGTGTGGAGAGAAGTGTACTGATTCTGATTTTTTTCCCATTGTAGTAGAACTCCTTCTTGCTTTTGCCACATGCAGGATCATTTTTTTATTGTTCAAATCTAGCGTTTTTGCTATGATATGCCTAGAAGTGTTCTTCCTGGGATCCTGTTTGCTAGGTGTTCTGTATGTCTCTGTTATGTAGGTAAGATTTTTCTCTTTTAAGATTGGGGAGATTTTTAGTGATAATCTTATTGAATAAGTGTTGCACCCCTCTATTCTGATATTCCTCAACTTCATCAACCCCAATTATATGAAGGTTAAATTTCTTGGCACTGTCTGCTTGTTCTTGGACTTCACTTTGGCATATTTTGAGTGTTTTTTCCATATCTGTGACTTTTTTTTCCAGTTGCTGCATTTTGTCTCCAGTACCTGATAGTCTATTTTCCATTTCATTCACTCTATTAACTATGGTTTCCATGGAAGAAATTGAACTATTTATTATTACTATGTTGGTTCTCAAAGTATAAATTTTGTCTTTTAAAGAGGTCTGTACTGCCTCTATTTTGAGTGCATTTCTTATTTGAAATCCTGAATTTCTTTTGATAATTTGTTTCTTTGTTCTTTACATTTCTGAACCATTTCTTGCTTTGATTGAAGTCATTGCCCCTACCAACTCTTGGATGTCGTGTTTATCTTCCATTTCTTCTTCACTTTCACTGGAGTTCTTCCCTGGGTGGCTGCTGGCCTTTGGGGATAGTTTTCTGTCTTGGCTGTTGATGAATCTTGTAATTTTTCACATGAGGATTCAGGGATTTTTGGAGACAAATCCCAAACTCTGACTGTTTTGGTCAATAAGTGGCTGCCTTCACTTGGTTCTAGGTTGGTTCTTGGGTCAATTGTTGAAGCCTGCTCTCAGCCCTGGGATGGCTGAGAGAGACTTTGCTGGGTCTTAGTACTGTTGTGGGAGGGGCCAACCTCCAGTTGCTAGCCTGACCCACATAGGGCTCACTCTCTTTAGATTCTAGTGGGCTGACACAACCCTCTGCTGAGACAGGCACTCAGTTCCTGATTTCAGTCAAGGACAGGTGGTTTAGACAGCTCAGGCTCCCACCTGAGACACAAGTGGGGCTTGTTCAGCAGCCTGCTAGAACCCACAGGTAGTAGTTCCTGAATTCAGCCAAGGACTGGCAGCCTCCACTATTCATGCTCCCTCCCAGGAATGCTCATGGCAAAACCAGGTGGGCTGGATATATTCCACCAGTTGCTGGAGCCTGCTTCCAGTTCCTGACTTAGCCAAGTAATGGCAGCCTGAGCTGCCTGATGCCCAGCCCAGGATACACAGGTTGGGTTCCTTCCACCCCTAGCTACTGAGGCCTATGGGCACGGTTCCTGACTTCAGCCAGGGACTTGTGGACATAGGATGCTGGGTCTCCTGCCCTGGACACACAAGTGGGACTTCTTCCACTGCTGGCTTTTGAGGCAACAGATGTACTTCCTGACTTCAGTCAGGGACTGGCCACATTCGAGTTGTCTTCCAGGTGCGCTCTTGGTCAAGCCTGGTGAGCGGGGTGTGCCCCACTGGTTGCTGGGGGCACTTGCACAATTCCCAGCTTCAACGAGACCAGTAGCCCAGGTGCTAAGGGAAGGAGTCCAGGTCAAGCTCTGGGGGTTACACCAGCGCTGTTCTTCCATGGTGGGGGATGGGGGGGGAGGAGGGGGAAGACATCCTCTGTGGGGTACTTACTTATCCTGGAACTGATTGTGAGCTGTCCAGCGGTGCTCTGGCAGATCGCTATTTCTGTGTGCTGTAGGTTGCTGGTCACAACGCTGTTCTGCATTTTGTTGAGATGATTGTGGGCTGGGCT